CCTCCCCCCCCCCCCACCTTTTTTTAAAGTTACATCAATACAGATTTTGTTTTTTTCAAAACCAAACAGGAGTGTTTATTGAGAGGTCAGGGAAAGGGCAAAGGGAGGGGGTGTAGTGGGGAAGAGATAGGGCTGCAAGGGCCCCTGCTGGGGAGACCCTGGGGAGAGTTACTGGGGTCCTTCAGAGAACCTCTCCCTCAGGGCCCCCCCCCCCCACCTTTTTTTAAAGTTACATCAATACAGATTTTGTTTTTTTCAAAACCAAACAGGAGTGTTTATTGAGAGGTCAGGGAAAGGGCAAAGGGAGGGGGTGTAGTGGGGAAGAGATAGGGCTGCAAGGGCCCCTGCTGGGGAGACCCTGGGGAGAGTTACTGGGGTCCTTCAGAGAACCTCTCCCTCAGGGCCTCCTGGATGCACACTCCCACCTGATGGGCCCGTCGGATGACAGCTGTCCTCGGCTGCTTGAATGCTCACCCCTTGCCGCCAGTGTCAGTCCCCACCCCACCCCAGAAGGAATGCCTCCCCTTTCCTCTCCACAATGTTGTGGAGGACACAACATGCCGCGACCACCTCGGGGATGTTATGGTCCCCCACGTCCAGGTGGGTCAGCAGGCATTGGAAATGTGCCTTGAGGCGGCCAAAGGCACATTCGACCTGGATCTGGGCCTAGTTCAGGTGGGCATTGCAGTGGTCCCTGCTGGGGTCCAGATGGCCAGTATACGGCTTCATAAGCCATGGCATGAGGGTGTCGGGGAATTGTACCCGGATGGCCTCCGTTCGTTGTCTGACCGCAAAGAGACAGGCAACACCAGCAAGATCCAATCACAAGCTCTTTATTGAATAGTGTGCACTACAATAGAGAGCAGCCCATCTCCCAAGTGAACCAGCCCTGATTTCAGTAACAAGTAAGATTATATAGACAGTTCCGTCGCGTCATAAAACATTTGCCCAAGCATCTCAGCCCTCCCTTAATTAGTTAGAAGCTTCTAGTGTTAATGGGTATACTTCATGGCCTTTTTAAGCAATTCGGGTCAACAGTTTTCTTATCAGCCCAGAAGGCAAGTACCAAACAACAAGGAGACAGGGAGTTAAAACAAACAGAGGGCAGAGACAGTTCGTTAAGATCAGGGTGAGAACAAAAACAAGGAGTTACCTTATCAGTTCTCAAACTAGCTGTTCCCATCACAACTGGTATAGGAATGCAGCCTTTCACTTATTTTACTTCTGCAACTCAAGCAAGCATGTAGGGAGGTCCCCTTGCTTGAACCATATCTCTAGTTCTGCTCAGGGACTACCCAGAAACCTTTGTTAACCTCTTTCCTTGATCTGTCTTAACATAACTGCACTAGGCCCAATTCTCTGTCTTAACATAACTGCACTAGGGCCTAACAAGGGGGTGGGCACATCCCTCATGATGCACAGTGGCATCTGCACATCTCCAATGGCAAGGTCTCAGCAGGGGAAAAATGTGCCCGTCTCCAGCTTGTGGTACAGGCTGGAGTTTCTGAACTCTTGGGCATCGTGTGCCCTGCCCGACGATCTGACAGAAATGTCTGTGAAGTGTCCACAGTGGTTAGGACCTGCAGCACCACTGAAAAGTAGCCCTTCCGATTTATGTACTGGGCCGCTTGATGGTCCAATGCATGGATCGGGATGTGGGTCCCATCTATGGCTCCACTGCAGTTTGTGAACCCCAGGGCAGCAAATCTGCCCACAATTGAGTCCAGGTCTCCCAGACTGATGACCCTCCACAGCAGGATTGAGTTGATGGCCCTCACAATCTGCAGAAGCAGACAAACACACAAAACAGAGAACGAGAAAGGGAATGCCTGAGCCCTTGAGAGATGCCTGAACCCCTCCCATCCTTCCTCCACCTCAAACACCCCAGGAGCCACCCCCTATGAGGTCCCCCCCCCCAGCAGCAGGGCTGTGTGAGGGCAGAACGGCACAAGCCCCTGGGGACAGGGCTTTCCCCCACCTCCACTCCACCCCCTACAGCCCCCAGCCCTCCTTTCCCGAGGGTCCCCCTTATGCAACACTCTCCCCACCCCCCTGCTGGGACTGCAGCCCAACAGTGCCTTATGTCCATGAGGAGGGCCCTGATGGTGGACTTCTCCACACCAAACTGGTTGCCTACCAACTGGTAGCTGTCGGGGGTGGTGAGCTTCCAGAGGGTGATTGCAACCTGCTTCTCTCCAGAGGGCAGGGGCAAGCCAGGCACATAGTTCCAATAAGGTAGTCTTTCGCATGCGGAAGTTTTGGAGCCACTGCTGGTCGTCCCACCTCTCCATGACCAGCTGGTCCAGAATGGTGTCAAGCCTCCAAAAATGCCTCTCCACAGTGGGTTGCAGTTGCCAGAATGTAGCTCCTGTACCCAGGGAGAGGGTCCCCAGAATGAGCTCTGGATCCAGCTCTTGCGGGACTAGAAAGGCAACTGGCACAAAGTGCTGCAAAAACTGCAGCATGACCATGTGGGGCCATTGCATGCCCAGGGACAGCTCCGGCTCCATGGCACAAATAACAAGCATGGTTTATGGCAGGGATGCATAGGAAAGTGGGCTGTGCCCACGAAAGCTCATGATACCATCTATTCATGTTTTGTTAGTCTATAAAGTGTGACCAGACCATTTGTTGTTTTTTAAGTTTATCCTGTACAGACTAGCTCGGCTACACCCTGAAGCATCCAAATAAGGTTATTCTTTATTTAAATCATTGTTCTGGGGTAGGAGATGAGAGGTTCAGATGCAGGCTGCACTGGGGAGAGAGGACAACTCCAGCTCTCTCTCACTGTAACAGCTTCCGGCCAGGTGAGAAGTGCTGTCCAGGGCCACTGTAACTGCAGTGGGCACAGCCAGGGGAGGGATTCATGTCCCCCAGCTGGGGGACAGATAGACACAGACAAACAGAGAAATTATCTGAAAAATATAGTAGCTAGCTATCCCCTTTTCCACCCCTGCCCCTGCTGGCTAAATGGGGTTATAGATGTTTCAGTCCCATCTCTGCATCTTTGCTGCTGGTCCTAGTTCTTACCTTATAGGAGGAGTGTTTGAAAAAACGGACTCACAGATGGACAAACAGACCGGTGCAGTCACAGAAGACCCCCTTGGAAGAGCTGCTTCCCGGTGTGCTGACAAAGCCACTGACACTCACTTCCTTGCTCTCTAAGGCTATTCACTACCCTGTCCTGATGGGCCAGATCTCCTGGTCTCTCCCAGCCAAGGCCCAGAGCTGAGATGACCATCCCGAAGAGCAATACAGATCCTGAATTAATTCAGCTCTGAGGAGAATGCAATTTCAGGCAGGGGCGGCCCGTGAGCCTAGGTGAGCTAGGCAGCTGCCTAGGGCGCCACTGGCCCGGGCGCCCTGTGATGACATCACGGCCATTGACAGCCGTGCAGGCAGGGGCGCCGATTGCGCCGCCCCACCTAGGGTGCCAGCTGCTGCAGCCGGCCTCGGGCCGCTCCTGTGTGGAGCATAAAGAAAGGGGAGAGACACAGGGACATGAAACAAAGGAAGAGATGCAGGGTACATTGCTGTGCAGGCGGGGAGAGGACGGTCCAGCTGGCAGTCAGGCAGGATGCAAAGATATTGCGTACAAACAGTAGGATTTAAGTGGTTGCAAGAGAAAACAGAGAGAATTACAAATTTAAAAATAAAAGAAAACAAATAGCTTGTTCTAACACACTAAAACATATTGCAGACACCCTAAAAATGTTCTTATTTCAACTAAAACTCCAAGCCAGGGAAGATCTTTTTTCCTGGGGTCTCTGGTTATTCTCTTGGGTGTGTCATGCCAGCCAAAGACCAAGAGCCTGAAAACTTTGCATCCTAAATAAACTTCCTTTTGGGCAGAAATTTTTGTTTCTATAGTCCACCCTTCCATGGAAAATTACCTGGTTAGACCCTACCAGTTAGGGTTGTCACATGGCTTCCTAAGACCAACCACTGCTTAGACTGAAAAGATAGAAGAGGCTGTTTACAGGTGATCACCCAGACATTGAGGTGGTTGAGCTTTGGAAACACCCTTGATGGCTTTTGTTTGCACATTTAAAACCATAAACCAGGGATGGGGAACCTCAGGCTGGCCCCTGCTTGCCTGGATCCATGCCCCGGAGGCTCAAAGCCCCCTCAAGTACTGGGGAGTCTGTGCTGTCATTCCAGTCTCTCTACTGCCCACCCTGGGGTTGGAGCACACAAAATCTACTAGGTGGGGTCCCCCAGGGGAATGTGGGGAGTGTCTTTCTCCTTCTTAGTTGGGGGGCCCACGTCAGCGAGAAGTGGGTTGGGTGTTTTTTTTTCCCTTTTCACTTCTGCAGCCCCCAACTTGATTTTTCTGTGGGTGAGTGGCCCCCAACTCAAAAAAGGTTTACCACCCCTGCCATAAACCATTCTGTACCCAATACCTCTAACTTTACATACAAAAGTGATATATACATCAAAATAAGATATACAGATCCAGCAGATTATGACATTAAAATTGGTAAGTTACAAGTGGTATTTTGTTGAAAGCATCTTCAAGTTATGCATCTTTGTATACATAAGACAATTTCATACGGCAAGGGGTAGGGGGTTCCTATCATGCATATTTCTAAAATATATAGTCAGAAGATGACGATAACAGTACAGGCATACATTATTAAGCAGAATTGAAAGCACTGTTCCATTTATTTGCCTTGGTGAAATACATATAAAGAGACTCGTTCACTACAATGTTGAACTCCTATGGTTTGGCAAATTCTCTGGTTCGGTACCAGTCAGGTGCCAAGGTGGTCGGACAAGAGAGGTTCAACCTGTAATAGCAAAAAGGACTCATGCTTCTAGTTTTGTTATTTTTTATAGAGCTGCGCTCCAAGGTAAAGGAAGTTGACCAAAAACTAGTGATAAAACAGGCTGAGAAGGATTACTGGTTAGAATACAAAAATGTGGGAAGTGGAGAACATGCCAAACAGATCAAGCTTCTAGAAGAGAATATCCGTGGACTCAAAGATGACCTTGAGCAAATGACAGGTCAGTTATGGCAAGGTCAATACAAGTACATATAGTGCACAAATAAGCTACAGTATTCATTTGCAGAAAATAATTTGTGCTTAGACTACGTCCATTTAAGCCAAAATATTTAAACTTGTATGTCTAATGTTGGGCTCTGTAATCTGTTTGTAGGCAACTAAAAAAAAGCAACTTACTGTTCTGAGGTGTTCCACAGAAGTCAAGGTGGTATTGCATGTTTGCAATAGGTTTTAAAAACAGGCTGCTTTTACATGCATCTTTAAAAACAGATTGTGGGGTCAAATTTAGCTACCTAAGTTTGCAAATGTTGGACTGTGCTACTTTGGTGAGTGCTTGCCATGTACCACACTTCACAGTTTCCATTTGAAAGCTATGTGAATATAGGAAACATTTTAGATCATTTTTGGGATTGGTGAAATTCAGACCTAGTATAACCAGGTGCAAATGAAGCTTCATCTCGTTATGCAATAAATTAATTGAACTTAATGGTTACAAAGTCCCAGTAGTCATCCCCAATGTGCATATTAGCAAATGCAAGACACAGTTGCAGTTCTGACGAAGCAACGGATCATATGCAAGAGCTTGGATATAGGGATGACAAGTGTTTTATAAAACCATTAGATAGATTCATCTGTATAGAGGACTTCAAAATAATATGCAAGTGTTATTATTTTTAAAAAGTCCCGATTTTTCCCTCTTGCAACACTTTTAGAATTCATTACCGCAGCCAAGCAGCTGCTAGTGACAGGCAGTGACACCATTGTTAGAATGGTCCCCATACAGTTGGTGCCAGCCATTGCCAAGCATCAAGTGCTGCAGATAAGAAATATTCACTTTTCCTGTTTTCCTCAGGGTAATTGTTCTGAAAACATACTTTATTTGTTTTTCCTATTGCATATCAGCCTGTCAGTGTGTATTTTAAGTAACTACCAAGGAAAGACTGGTATTTTGCACTCTGGAGTTTCCCTGTTTTAAATCTGTTCAAAACTGTATTGTGCCAAGATGTAAATCAGAAAAAAGAAGGAACATTTATATAAATTCATAGATTTTTAAGGCCAGAAGAGACCATTATGATCATCTAGTCTCTCTCTTATGCAATGATTCTTGCATCTAATGTAATAATGTGTTTGAACTAAAGCATGCTTTCAGAAAGATTTATTATTTATATTGTTATAGCATTTCAGAGCCCTAGTCATGGGCCAGAACTTCACTGTGCTTGGTGCCATACAAACACAGAATCATAGAATACTAGGACTGGAAGGGACCTCGAGAGGTCATTGAGTCCATTCCCCTGCCCACATGGCAGGACCAAATACTGTCTCTAGACCATCCCTGATTGACATTTATCTAACCTACTCTTAAATATCTCCAGAGATGGGGATTCCACAACCTCCCTGGGCAATTTATTCCAGTGTTTGACTACCCTGACAACTAGGAACTTTTTCCTAATGTCCAGCCTAAACCTCCCTTGATGCAGTTTAAGCCCATTGCTTCTTGTTCTATCCCCAGAGGCCAAGATGAACAAGTTTTCTCCCTCCTCCTTATGACACCCTTTTAGATATCTGAAAACTGCTATCATGTCCCCCCTCAATCTTCTCTTTTCTAAACTAAACACACCCAATTCTTTCAGCCTTCCTTCATAGGTCGTGTTCTCTAACCTTTAATCATTCTTGTTGCTCTTCTCTGGACCCTCTCCAATTTATCCACATCTTTCTGGAAACGTGGTGCCCAGAACTGGACACAATACTCCAACTGAGGCCTAACCTCAGAGTAGAGCGGAAGAATGACATCTTGTGTCATGCTCACAACACACCTGTTAATGCATCCCAGAATCA